TCACCATGTTAGCTGTAGAGGGCAGTGTCACTGGCCCTCATGTGGGATCTGAACCGGGGCCCTGCTGCTCAGAGCTGGCGTCCCAAGCCAGCTATTAACCAACGCGCCACTTGGCCGGCCCAGGAACATCTTTTCTTAATTATAGAGATTCCACCTCTTCTCTCTCGAATTATTTGAAGCCCTGTGTTAGCTGGGCATGTTGCCACACAGCTAAAGTATGACCTCCCGCTCTCACAGGGAGATGTGGCCACCTGATGAAGTCCTGGCAGAGGAAGTTAGGTAAGCTGCAATGTTGGTGGGACTTCTAAGCTGCGATGTGATGGATGGAGCTGCAACACCATCCTGGACCTTTAGGAGGAAGCCACGCCCTAGGAATGGGAAAGCAGAAGGCAAGAACCAGCCCGGGTCCCTCACGACTGTGGGGTCAGCACACCAGCCCCAAATTGGCTGCCTCCAGGTCTTCCATGTGACCGTCTGTCTTGTTTAAGCCTGTTATTTTGGGTGTTCCTGTCAGTGGCAGCTGAACTAAATCCCAAGGATACTGTGACCCTGGCCCCTATTTAGCCACCCTGATAATCTGTATGCCCAGCCTAAATCCCTCACGCTGCAGCCTGGGCCCACTTCTCCTCGGTCTGAGCTCTGAAAGTGTAGACAGCAGGGGAATGATCCTCTGTAACCCTCCACTGAAAGTGCCCTCTCCCATTATTTCTGCATTCTCCTTTCTCCCTGACGCCCAACACCCAGGCTACTCCCCCCACCTCCGCCCACTCTCCCTTTCTCAGCATCTTGCATAAACATCAGATATTGAAGCATTTTTATATGCAACAATCTTTCACTCCAGGTTTTGAGATAGTACTGTTTTATACTTGTTACCAAAAATATAAAATCAGCTCTCTTGTTACTTCAGTCCTAACTCCTTAGAGGAAAATTCACGATATATTCTCCCCCTGTGGACTCTGGAGATGGGGCATGATAGGGAAGTGCTTAGAGAGGAGAGCAACAGAGATTAGGAAGACTGACCCTCCCAAATATTTGGGAGGGAAGACCAGACTTCAAAAAATATGCCCTTCAGCTCTTGCATAAATTGTGAAAAGTTAGGAGGTTACACAATGGCCTAAACTTGTATTTTAAAGGGGGAGGAGGGGGTGAGACAGGGAGGGAGAAAAAGAGGGAGAGGAGATAGAGGAGAGATTGGTAAGAAGGGAGGGAAGCAGGTCCAGATCAAGCGAGCCATTGCCAAGAGCTCTTCATTTCAAGCCAGTGAGGGCTGTTTCTACTACATTAAAACTAGCATGTTGGCTGCTGGGAGCTTCTGCCTCAGCAGATGATGTGGGCAATGTCTCTCAAACAACTGAAGAAGGCAATTCAAAAGTCACCTACATATGGTCACCCTCATCGTTAAATAGTGGTTATTTGGGGGATGGATGTCTTCTAAAGCTTTCACTTACTGTTTTAATCACATATATGAATGCAGCTTTGATTACTTTTCCCAAGTCCCTATATTTTACGAGACCTTGACTTTGCCACTATAGGTAAGTACTCTGATGGGCTGTCAATCCCATGGTTGTGAGGGGTGACCATATAAGAAAATTTGACAGAATGTACCCATTTGTATCTTTGAGAGCATTGTGATTGATACTTGTGCTCCTTGGGGACCAGGAATGAGATTCCTGCTTCATGGGACACACGCATCTGTGACATTTGGCAGAATTCTGTTAAGCTTCCTCCAAACAACCAAATTTTTTGCTAACAGTGCCCCTTCCACTTACCTGCTACCCTCCGGGAGGAATTTGAATTTTCCCCTAAGATGCAGCCATTGCAGTCCTGGCCTAAGCTAGTTTTGGGGGGTCTTTTGAGTTACAAACTAAATTCTAGCAATTTAAGGTAACACAATAGTACCTCTGCCCTTGGCAATGGTTTTATTGCATCTGGGTTATCATCTGTGTCCTCTGAAGTTCGGATTCTACTCATGCCCTAAGAATCCTCCTGCCCTTCTTGAGACTATATTCTGAGGAAAGCATAGAAGAAAGAAGTTTTCACTTACACAATATTCACATGCATTGTTATTTTATGCATAGCCCAGAATTAAGCACCAGAAGGGACAGAACAAAGGGGCAGGTCCCAGCGCTCCCACAGCTTCCAATCTTGGGGAAATAAAGAGGATAGAAGCACATCGTGGAAATCATGTCCAGTTTCTATAGCCTTTTCTCCTAGCTCATATTTTCCGACTCTATCACACTGGTTTCTGCAGACATCTTCTGAATTCAACGTGCCTCAGAGACAGGCTGGACCCAAGTCATTCTCGATTCCTCTGTTGGCATGGGATAGCAGGCGTCTGGGACACAGGGCATCATGACACCCCAGAGCCTGTATAATACAGCTGTGCTCCACCAGAAAGTTTACACTGAGTGGACATGCAACACTTGCTGGCCCTTTGGATTGTATTTTCTTCAACCGCCAGATAGAGACAGACAGCAAGAAAACTCATGAATAATTAATCTTTCAAACAAATGCTATAAATGTTACTAATGACCATACTATAGTAACACAACTTTTTCTCCAAGCTCAAATTCTGTAAATATTCTCCCCTGAATCCGAAGATCATTCCTAGAAGGCAAGTTTTGTTCCTTGTTTCAGAGCTTCTTATCTTGAAGGAAGAAGGTGGGAGTGAGGGGAGGCCTGAGACAGAAGTAGGTTTTGCTGCACCAGCCGTGGGCTCTGGCCACTCTGAACTCCACCCCACACAGCAGCTGGAGCTCAACCTCTGAAGGAAGAGAAGTTGCTGGGCTCTGGATGTTCTGCCCACAGGTCTTGCTAGGTTCACTCCAGAAGCCAAATCCACCCATGGCCACCATGAGAGAAAGATGCAGGCAAGACCCTATCTTCTACTCTTTATCTGCCAGAAATTTGGGAGTGGTTCTTTTGGGGCAGGGTATAAGAAAAGGTGCCATGTACATAAATTAAGTAATAAGCATACCTTGAGCAGGAAAGAAAAAAAGAAAGGAAGAGATGGAGAGAGGAAGGGTTGGTGAGTAACAACTCTATCATGGTTACCTACTCTCATGACTCC